CTTCCCCCTGCATTCCCAGAGGAGCAGCTTCCTTCCCCCTGCATTCCCAGAGGAGCAGCTTCCTTCCCCCTGCATTCCCAGAGGAGCCCAGGCCCATCTCCCCCAGCCCTGGAGCTCCAGAGGAAAACTCCCCCCTTGTGCAGATCCTGCTCCAGCAGAAGCACAGCTGGCACTGCAGGAGGGCTGAGCCCCCCTGGGATGGGGCTGAGCCACTCCCTGACCCACAGGGGTCAGGGCATGTTCTGACTCTGGCAGGGGTTTGTTTTCTGGTTTTTTGTACTACTGCATTTGTATTTTTAATTTCCCTAATAAAGAACTGTTATTCCTATTCCCATATCTTTGCCTGAGAGCCCCTTAATTTCTAAATTATAACAATTCAGAGAGAGGAGGTTTCCATTTTCCATTTCAGGGGAGGCTCCTGCCCTCCTCAGCAGACACCTGGCTGTTCAAACCCAGACACTCCTTTTCCTTCCCAAAAAAGAAAAGGAGATGGAGCTGGGCTCCAGCTGGTTCCAGGAGTGGTTCCAGGAGTGGTCCCAGGGGGACAGGGCAGGGCAGAGTGAGCCGGGCTGTGGGGCTGGGGCTGCCCCTTCCCACAGGGCTTGCAGCAGCGGCAGGACAAGGCCCCTCAGCACTCCCAAAATACTTTTCAGATGTGTTGGCTAATGGAAGAGCAGTAATTAATCTTTCAGAGGCTCCTAGAAGATGACTTTGTCGCTGTGCATCACTTCAATCCCTGCTTTTGTGCTCCCAGCCCGAGGTTCCTCCCGTTATCCCAAGGACAGCAGGACGGAGTCTCTGCTCTCCCGTCTCCTGGGAGCAGCAGCACCAGGATAAATCCAGGAAATTCAGCTCTATTTAGGTCACTGGCTCTTGAAGAAGGCTTTCAAATGAGTTTTACCAGCCTGGAGGCTTTTCCTTCCCCTCCCTGAAGGAGTGGGAGGCCCTGAACAGATTCCTGGATGCTCTGGGGGATGCAAATGGAGCAGAGAGGGCCCCTGGGAGCTGCTCTCCTGGCAGAGCCTACCTGGCTTCACAGCAGGAATTTGGATGCCTTGGATATAATTCTCTTCTAAAGAAAGGAAAATTAACCCAGGGAACAAAGGAGAAGAGGTAATGATAGAAGCTGTTTGGATTTGATAGCTGAAGAATAAAATAAAAATAATCTCCTTGGCTGAGAGAGAGTTTTGTTGCACATTTAATTTCTGCTGATTTGTGCTGGGCTTTACCTGTGCCAGGGCAGGAATGCCTGGAAACCTCTGGGCAATCCTATGGCTCTGAAGGTTCTGGAAAGAAAATATTTCTTTTTGTGCTTGTTTTTGTTCAGGCAATGCTTTGAGCTCGCTGCTGTCGCAGCTCTGCAGGAGCAGGGGGGGTTCTGCATAAAAACCAGCACTTAAATTTGGGGAGGTGCAAGGGGAATTTCACACATTATCTCCTAAAACCTCTTCCATCTTGTGTCTTCATTCAGACCATTTCTCTGTTCCAAACAGGCTGTTTGATTTCATTGCACTCTAACATTTTATTATTAAATATACATTGGGCGTGTAAGTGGAAGCAATATGGAAATTGGAACGGTTCCTGATGTTTTGATATCCTCCAATTTCCTCCCCCCAGATTCTTTGCAGGAATATTCTAAAGCAAAACTTTCCTCTCTGATTTTTAATCCTCTGTTCCTGCCTTGCTTTTTGCAGGATTTCCCTTGGAAGTGAAATTTCAAACCCCAGCTGGCTTTGCTAAAAATAAACTCGTTCAAACCTTTGGATTTCATTTAAATATATTTTACTCTCACTTGTCTCTGGGCACAGGGATTTTTCCCTGAAACAGCAAATATTTGGGGAAAGTGGAAACTCTGTAGGGGCTGCTCCTGCACCTCCCATCTTTCCCATGGACAGGGACAAAGGAGTGGGGTTTATAAAAAATGGAAAAGCCAAAATCCTAAGGCATCACTGGATGAACCAAAGGTGTTCCAGGCTGGCAGGACGAGATAGCCCAGAGAAAATCTGTTAAACCAGGGTGGAAAAATTAAGGAAAAATTGTTTAAAACTCTGGGATAAAGGAAGGTGTTCCCGTCCAAGGCAGGGTTGGAACTGGATGAGATTTAAATCCCAAAATGCTCTGGAATTCCATGAAAACCTGAATGACTCCTGCACAGCTTTGCTGTCTGGTAGTGAATTTGTGGACGTGGCCATTGGGCAGGTCCTCAATCCAAGTGGGAACTTCCCTGGATTCTCAGGGAAAGTTCTCCCTGCTCATGGCTAGATGGGAATTCCTTAATTTTCTGCTCTCTGGAAGGACATTTGCAGGTGGATCCCACGGGTTTGGGTGATGCCTTGGTTCTGGCTGCTCCTGGGCTGTCTGGGCTGGAGGAAGAGAGCTGGGCTTTCCTTGGATAAAAATGGAAATAGAACTGGGGGAGGGTCAGATGGATATGGATCAGACCAGGAGAGGAAGCTGTGTGGAAAATATGGATATTTTAACACAGCTGATAGAGAAGAGCCTCTGGAGCAGCCAAAAATCTGATATTTTGAGGGATGAAGGTGTGGGAAGTTGCAGGATGTCAGCAGAGCTGAGTGTGAGGAGTAAGGGACGGGTGTGATTGGACTTACAGGTGAGGTGTGTGGGGTGAACATGGAAATATCCCCAAAATGCTGGTCCTTGGGGTGGACATGGGTGAAAACCTTGGTGTTGGCAGCCCAGGGATCTCTGCTCTGCCTGGAGATTCCATCAGGGAATTGCTCTCAAATCTGCTCCTCTCTGGGCTCAGCCCCTCTGAGAGCTCTGCCCACCTTTTGTGGTTCCAAAAGAGGCAAAAAGCTCCTCAGTTAAATGAGGAATGGGGAAACTGCAAATGCTCTGGTTCACCATTGCACCAAGCCATGCAGGTGAAATGCACTGAAAATTCAGATAAGATATTAAAAAAAAAAAAAAAGATAATTGAAGTGTTTTGTGAGCACAGCATCAATAAAGAGCTACAAATTCTTTGATATTTACCCACATGGCTCTATTAAATGATTATCATTGCAAGCACACTTCCTCCTCACCAGATGAAGGAATCCACACCATTCAGAAGTTAACTCTCATTTCCAAAGTGATATTGTCATTAAATGTCTGCAAATGGAAGTGGGACTCCCTCTGGATTTTAAAGAGGTTGTGTGGGGGAGCAGAGCCACCACAGCGAGCACAGCCTGCAAGCTCGGAGAGCTCAGACCTGCTCCACCATCCTCCCTGGCCTCCACCCCTTGGGGTGTCCTCTGCTTTGTGTGTGGTGGGAAATCATTGGACCAGCTGAGAGTGGGTAGAATTTCTGTGGAAGTTTTAGGGAAGGAAATTTTATTCATAATTAATGTGAGTGTGTGCAAGGCCAGGTTTGACCTCATTGGGGCTGGAGAGACCCCACAGGAAATAGGGAGAGCATTCCCAAGGGATGGAGGGACAGGACCCAGGGAATGGCTCCCAGTGCCAGAGGGCAGGGATGGGTGGGGGATTGGGAATTGGGGATTCCTGGCTGGGCTGGAATTGCCAGAGCAGCTGTGGCTGCCCCTGGATCCCTGGCAGTGCCCAAGGCCAGGCTGGACACTGGGGCTGGAGCACCTGGGACAGTGGGAGGTGTCCCTGCCATGGCAGGGGTGGGGTGGGATGGGATGGGATGGGATGGGATGGGATGGGATGGGATTTAAGGTTTTTTGCAACCCCAGCCAGTTTGGGATTCTGGTTTGGGATCAGTGAGTGATGCCTTGTGTGGCACCAGGGTCCAAGGCAGGAGCCAGCAGTTCCCAGGAGCTGGTTTGGGGTCCCATCCCCTCTGCTGGAGCTGCCAGGAGCTGCTCTGGAGCAGATTCCTCATGTCTGTCTGCCTGTGGGGAACTGGGACAGGCCCTGGATGGGGAAATGGAGGTTTCCTGCTGGGGCTGTTGAATTCTCAGGGGAGGAAGGTGCTGATGTGACTTGTTTGTACCCTCTGCACATTTACAGAGGCACAAAACCCACCTGAGGTCTTGCACAACCTCTGGGGAAAGCCTGACCTGGTGCAAAGCCTGCCCAGGTTCTCCCTTGCTGTGGGAGTGCAGCCATGGCTGGGACACCACCACGAGCAGAAGAGGGAGAGCTGGAGTATTTTTATCTCTGCTGAGCACATTTCCTGTGTTGGAAATGTCTGACTTCAGCTGGAACCAGCACCCAGGGCAGGAGGAAAAGGCAAACCCACTTGTGGGCAGCTGCTGTCCGTGCAGCACTGATGTGAGACACCCAAATCCTGCAGGCCACGGCAGCTGGGCTGTGCGAAATACTCCACTTTCCCACCCACCCCCGAATTTGGCAAGGAATGAAGCAAACATTGGCTTTTATCAGCCTAAATATTTCAGAGGGTTACAGCCCCCAGGATCACAATGCGGGCTGCAGCTGGCCAGGGCTGCAGCTGGGGAGAGGCAGAGCCACCAAAGCCTGCAGATGAAATGTTCAATTGGCACCTGCTGCTGCCCTCAGACCCCGATCCGTGGGAGCTCGGCCCAAACATCCACCTCTGCAGGGGGAAATGTGAGTGCTGCAGCTCCAGCAGGGTCTGGGACAGCTGGGGGACTTTTCCTTGCTCTGTCCTTAATGGGGGGAGTGGTGCCTCCCTTCCCCTCGCCCGTGTCACCTCCTTGTGCCCCAGAAGGTCCCCGGGGTGGTGGGGCCAGGCTGTGCCCTCATCTCCTGGCCTGGGAGCGAGAGGAATGATCCTCACTGCCAAAAAATGTAAAAGCTTTATTAAAACCTTATCAAAAGTACAGCAGCACACTGAATAGAGAAAATATCCCAGCCCCAGGAGCAGAGGATTGTCCCACCCTGTGCTCACCCACACCATGGAGGTTTCACCTTTAACCCTTTAGCTCCCCCACAGTTCTGTCCCTGGCCTCCTCCTTCACTCCAGGGGTGGAGATCACTGCCTCAAATCCTGGCTGGGCTCAGCTGCTGCCGTGGTGACAATCCCACCCTCCCAATGTCCCCAGTAACAGCACAAGGGGTAAAACACAACTATAAATGTGTAAAACTTCTCCCAGCGTGTGTCCATGAGATTTGGCTTTTCCCTGGGAGGGCCAGCCATGCCGTCACTCATTGTCACAGGAGTGCTCCCAAATGGGGACCAGCTCTGGAATCACCCCTGGGTCAGCCTGGGGGGCTCCTGCCAAGGCTGAAACACCTGGAGGCATCTGGAAGGGGTTTAGGGAGCTGGGTTTGGGGAGTTCCTGTGCAGGGCCGGGAGCTGGAGCTGGGTGATCCTGGTGGGTTCCCTCCAGCCCAGGATATTCCATGGTCCTGTGAGTGAGGCAGCGAGGCAGGGAGGACGGGAGCTTGCTGTGGGATGGGATGGCAGCTGGAACACTTTGGGGGCAGGGGTACCCAAAATGGGGGCAGGGGTACCCAAAATGGGTGAAGGAGTACCCAAAATGGGGGCAGGGGCCACAAGGGAAGGGCAGAGCAGCTGCAGCAGCCAGGCCCCTCCTGTGGCCCTGCCTCAGTGTCACCCACGGTGTCCCCAGGGCCACGGGGACAGGGCGCGGGGACAGGGCTCCCCAGTCAGCACAGAGGGTGGCAGTGCCTGGGTCAGGAGGGCACAGACACCCAGGGCTGCCCTGAGTGTCCCCAGGGCTGGGTGGCAGCCTCAGCAGAGAGCTCACATGCAGAGAACAGAATGGTTCTTCTCCAGGTCTGGTGCTGGGCTGACCCCAGGAGTGTAAAATCCTCGTTTCCAGCCCTGCAGCCAAAGGAGGAGTCTGA